CAAAAGATCTAGAGCGCTAGTATTTGTTAAGGCAGTTAGGTCATTGAGGTCAAAGTACAGGAACAAGTAGGTCCAACTTTTAAATGGGATTTCAGAGTTCCTCCCTCTGCTGCAACTTTATCAACCTGTCAACATGAAATCTGGAAATACAAGTATGTAGATCAACTCTGAGGTCTTGCAGAGTCACTCAGTAAAGTTTGCTACCGGTGATGTGGTTGCATCAGGGCATTAGTCCAACAAACTGCTGGACCAACAGGCTGCCCACTAGCTTTATATTTAATCTATCCATATACAACATATAAACAATGATTTCCTCTAAAACTGATTGAACATTCTGATCAAAGTCTCCACGGACATCAGGCAAAGATCTCCTGAATATTCTAGTACACAGTTCAATGTTACATAACGAAGCTAAGGTGGGAACCTCATTAATATCTAAAGCCTCCAGTCAGTGGGAAAGACTTCTGAGGGCGATAATCCCCCTCCTGACGGAGAGGAGCACTGCTGCTGACTGAAGCACCTTAGGAGCTGGGCTCAGCCACCCGCTGGCAGCGACGAAGGAGAAACTAAGCAGGAGCCAGCTTCACATAACAGCCACTCAATGAAAACAAAAGCTCTGGACCCTGTCTGCTGAGCCCATCTTCCTCTCGTTGGAAAATCTAATAACCGATGTTCGCAGCATCTCCTTTTCCTTGTCCAAGGCTGACTCGTCCTTATTACAATAGATTGGCCCACATTGATTTGTCTTTAGAAGCCTCAGGGAAACAAAAAGGCCTCATTGATTTTTTTGGTTTATAGAGAGGGCATGTGAGAAGTCTGAGCTTGTGGTGGAGTGCAGAAAAGGTACCTCCGTGGCTGGTGCACGCCAGAGTGGCTGGAGGGTGTGGGATTCTGGTTCGAGTTGAGCTGCTTTTTGCCAGCTTCTGTCGGAGATAAACAAGGCTATTTGTCTGGTCCTGCATCAGCTCACCTGTCGTTATAAGTCAAGCGCAAGGCTGTGTGGGGACGGTCATCTATCAATCACACACGACAGGATGCCACAACAGAACAAGACACCGCTGACAACATTAGAAAAATAGTGCAATGCCACCAAATTGTTCTGTTTTCTTTTCTTTTTTTTTTTTCAGTATAAGCTCAAACATAAAAAAAAAAAAAAAAAAACTAAACACTGGATACACACTCACAGCCCCTGTTTAGATTTCTCCTTGAGGAAAGTGCTTTTGAATGTCATACCCTGATGCATAAATGCAAAGCTTTTTTTCAAATACTCTGTCTGAGCACTTTGTTTTTCCCATCCGGTGGTTCAAGTTGTGGCACATAAAATTAAGCTGCATCAGTTTGACATCGACAGCAGTGAACCAGAGTAGCTACACAGTAAATTGAAGGACACAGCAAAAATCAGTCAGTCTTGAAGAAGAAAATGAAATAGCATTTTGGAATACTGCTTTTTATTTTTATTTTTGAATCAAATAGTGCAGCCATGACTTTGAAATGAAAAAGCATTTCTACTAATGCTTTTGAATTTTCAAATTCGACATTTCAAATTGAATTTTGTTACCTTTTTGCTGGTGAATGTTTTGAAAATTAAATGTTAAATGTGATTTGCTTTTGCTTTTTAATTTAGTCACAAAATGACCAGTCTTGAAGAAGAAAATGAAAATGCATTTTGAAATATTGCTTTTTATTCTTATTTTTGAGTCAAATAGTGCAGCCATGACTTTGAATGAAAAAGAATTTCTGCTAATGCTTTTGAATTTGAGATATGAGTCACAATCGCTTCCATATTATGGTTAGTGTTAGGTTGGATATGCAATGGACATTCACAGTGGATCTACCGGTGTCTTCTCACTCTCAATAACCAGGAACAGCAACAGCAGCGCGGTTAAATCTACTCAGCACCCTCGCTGTCAACGTCCGGTGCTGAATAAGGGATCATCAATAAATTACCGGTTGATGTTCTCAAAAAAGGCTGTTTTCCTTCAATAGCTTCCATGTAATGTGACCAATTGACCTAAAATTGATTTCAAACAATAGTACTAAGGTCGAACAATAAGACACAACTCTTTATTTCCCTAATTTGTCCTCTGAAAATTTTGGTGTTAAATTTAAAGGCAAATTTTGAACTTTTTCTTCAATAGCTTCCATGTCATGTGACCAAAAGACCTAAAATTGATTTCAAATTATAGTACTTTTGTTGACTAATAAGACACACATTATTTAATCAATTTTCATTGTACCCCAAAAGTTCTTTTTGTGCTCCTTACTTTTTCAACTTAGGAGCACATGTGGTCCTTGTGAAAAAGGTTTGTGTCAAACCCTGCACACACATACACACACACACACACACACACACACACACACACACACACACACACACACACACACACACACACACACACACACACACACATCCAAACATACATCTGGTTGTACTTTGACAACATGATCCTGCGAATAAAGGTAACTGAATTGAATAAGTGTCAGTACACCACAACCAGGTTTTGCTATAGTTACATCTCAAACAATGACAAGATCTGAACCAAAACAGTGAATCTTATGTTTAGACGGCAACACTATTTTTGAGGTACATCTTACTCAGAGTATCAGACTGTTTTTTCAGTGAAGATATATTTTGATCTGGTGATTTTCTCGGAGCAAAGAGACACAGAGCAGAAATGGAGCGATCTCGTGGTCTAAAGAACCATTCAGTGGAAGAGAAGAGATTGGAGCTGGAAAGCAAAATGGCGCTGTTGGAGGCAGAGGAAAAGGTTCATGATGAGTGTCACAGACAGCGCATGGAAGAGGTCCGAGCCAGAATTCACAAGATAGAGCAGGAAAATGACTCCATGAGCAAAAGGATTGCTGAACTGAAGGACCCCACAAGACCAACCAGAGAGGCTCTTCGTGACAGACCCATGGAGCTGAGGGCTTATGGCCACTTGACACTGGACGAGGCCATAGATAAAGTTCATGACAAGAATCTGAGGCTGCAGAAACAGATAAATACCCTCAATGCCAAGAAGAAGACAGAGAAAGAAAAAATGAAACAGGATGTTAGCCGGCCTGCTGCTGTTCGCCAAAAGGAAAAAAGTAGGCGGTCAGAGCTGGAGGAAAAATTGGAGAAAAAACAGTTAGAGTGTGAGGAGCTCAGGAGGGTCTATGCTGAAGAGAAACGGCTCACCCAACAGGTAAAGGAGAGCAATCTGACATGATAAGGATAACACTACCAAAAAGATAAATTAAGTTGTATCTAATCTTATCTTTTCTAATCTAGGCAAAGGAGAGTACTCTGACCTTGGAAAACCGGATGATAGAAATGGAAAAGAAGGTCCAGAAGAAAAGGGAGGACGTGGAGGCCTTGAAGTCGGGCCTCAGCACCGCACAGCATCTGAAAAAGCAGGAACTGGCTAAGCTGGACAAGATGCAGAAACACTCCAAAGAGCAGGAGAGGTTGCATGAAGAAAAAATAGACAACCTAAAGAAAAAACTTCAGGAGCTCAAGGACCACAACCAAGAACTGGAGAGACAGCATCTGAGATCAGCTCAACAGAAAGCTGAAGAGGACAGCAAAGGCCCCAGCCCCAGGACAGCAGATGAGGAGGAGGAGATAGCCTTGAGGGAGACCTGTCTGAAGCTGATGCGGGTCACTGGAGCTGCTCGTGTGACAGACTTAGCCAAGTGCTTTGCTGCACAAAAAGAAAGACTCCAACGTCTGGAGGATGAGGTGAAAGAGAAGATGAAGATGCCACGGCAGCCGATGAAGGAGGACCTTTTTTATAAGTTACAGGACATGAAAGTTATCAGAGTGGCTGAGAAGGTCTCCAGTGACAAGAAGACTCAGGTGAAGGTCAGCAAGCAGCTAGTGCAGTCTGTACAGAGAGAGCCCAAGCTTGAAACTCTTTACCGTCTCAGGCTGGAGGGTCTCGCCGATAGACTCAAACACATCAAGCTACCTGAGGACAGAGCTGTGGAGGTGTCTCCAGACTCCGAAGACTACTTATCAGCACTAAAGACTGAGTGCGATCTGAAGATGCAGATCCTGCGCCAGAGGTTTGAAGGAAAAGATATAGATGCTATCCAGAAGAGGATGGAGGAGTCAAAAGAAAGAAAAACAAGAGGCTAACCTCTCCGCGCTGCCACAAGATGAAAGTCTGGATGACTTTGAGGTCCTGGACGACAGTGCAGAGGATGATCCTGACATCCTCACCCGAGAGCAGCTGAAGGCTCAGTCTCAGAAAATTGTGGACTTCCACTCCAAGAGGAGACAGTGGCAGAAAAAGAAGGGCAAGTGATGACATATCCTGCTGACTACACTACTCCAGATATGCAGAAAATAAAAATAAAAATGTGTGCAGTTTGAGATCTGATTGAAGAGTGCTCATTCTTTAATGTATTTTGATCAAAAGTTCAAAGTTCACTGAAACCAAAAATTGTTTTATATTACAGCAGTTAAAAAAAACCTTGAACTTTTACATGAGTTTAAAAGGATATCCTTCACAATGTCTCTAACTTTTCTTGTAAAAAGCACAAAGGTAAAAGTGCTCCTTATTTATTTTTGAGAAGATTAAAATGCATTGAAATTGGATTAACTGTATTTCCTCACTGCAGCAAATCAACAGCAATGTGTGAGTAAAATCATCTACTTGCTTAATTTGCGCGAATCTAGACGCGTGAATGAATAGCATTTACTAGCTTTAGTTGCCCATCAAATTCCTTGGATACTGATGCCGTGGACACGAGAAATTTAAGTGAAGTAGAAATGAACCACATTGTGAAGATTGCTTCTATTTATTTCTTGTGGGGAGGAGAGAGGAGGAGAGACACTCGCACTCATTAAATAAATATCTTTTTGCACTATTTATAGTTGAAGAGATTCAACAAAAGGCACCAACCATGGATAAGTTAAAGGGTGCAGGGTCACATATTTAAGTACTGTACCCCATCAACCCCTTATCTGTTTTGCCTGCTTTTGTGGTGCTCCTGTTCTTTTCATGTGAAAAATGAAAAAAGTAATTATAAAAAAGAGAACTCATACTCAAACTCATAGATTTGCTAACTTCTAACATTTTATTTTCTCTAAATTTCAGGCCAATGCAGAGGAAGAAACTCAGTCTGATGATGGCTGGAAGAAGAGCAAAAAACCCTCATCATTTGGAAAGAGAGGTAACCCATCATCTGGAAAAAGATGGCTCACATTTCTATTGCTTCTGAAACAACGGACCCACAAAGAGAACTGTTGTTTACATTACACTTCAGCAATATTATGCACCATTTATTTATTTATTTATTTATTTTAAATGCCCCCAAAATTTGGTAAATGCACCCCATTTTATACATTGAAGGCAAAAGTTTAACTTGTTTTATTCATTTTGATTACATCACATTGAAACGAGATGACCTGGTAGCTATTGTTTTTTTGTTTTTGATGTTAAGGTAACACTCTCCCATCCACCCAAACACAATCTTATATAGACTATATTTACCAGAGTCAAGGCTGGCCCTATTACAAAACAGCTATGTAGAGAGTATCCACAGCTGTATCAATTTAACCGCTGATTGAAGAAGAGTAGTACACTGCAGACACAAGATGACTGGTTTAACCCTGATCTTCATGTCATGTCAGGATTATAAATATATTTGGAGTTATTACACAGTGTTAATCTATATTTTCTTTTTATGATCTGTTTTGTAGTTCTGAGCCCAGAGGACATTGTCCACCGCTCCAAAGTAGTCCTAAAAGTCCTTAGGCGAAATCACAGCATGACCAACACCTGTGAAGAACTTGGAGTGGACAGGAATACCACTGCAGGGAGTGCGGTCATTGCAGATGTCATGATAGCCATAGACGGCGCAGACTTTGGGGAGCTGCCCCTCTTCAAAGAAGAACAGACTTTAGCACAAAATTATACAAGGCATTTCTAGATGCCAACAAACCCCTGCAGGAAAAAAACTGAAAGAATGAGGAAGGCCACACAGCTGCTTCCTATCAAATATAAAATGCCAAAGTGAGGGGTCAAGGGGGAGGGATGAAACTCTTAGGTGCAGTAATTTCATGTCATTTAAAAAAAAAACTATTACTTTAATGTATTACTGCACTGTCTTTTTGTTTTATCTGGTGGGGATTCAACTACATTTCTTGTATCCAAAAACCTTTTAGTGGGTAGTTGGACCCTGGTTTCTTTTCTCCAGAGGTCTTTTAGCTTTGCCCCTAGAGTTTAAAATCGTTGAATAACTGTTGACTGGCCACTCCCTGCCATTTCCAGTAGTATGTTGTCAGCCTTACTTGTTTTATTTAGGCATAGTAGTAGTAGGCATTGTCAGTTTGCACATTGGATCAACAAAGTTTTATTTTGTTATTATTATTTCTGCTTCTTCTGAACCTGACACTTGTTTTGGAGTTAGATTACACAGAACTGCCCTTTGCACTTTTTCATAACATGTACTCCTTTTTTTGAAATATAAGTACACTTAAAAGCTATGCCACTATTGGCACTTCATGTATTGAATATTAAAGTTACTCTCATCAAATTTTGCAGATTAAGAGGATTAAAATTAGTCTCGTTAACAGTTCACCTCTTTTTGCATATTTGTCACAGGTTATGTGAAGGAGTGTAACAAAATGCATTGTATTTTTATGTCAAGTAAATTTCAGGGTAATACTATGGAAACAAACCATACTTCCTTTTACAGTACAGTTCCACCTCTCTTACAGGGTAACTACTCTGTAAAACTCCGATATCACCCCGAAAATTATCAGGGGGATATGGGAGTTTTTGCCAGATACCTTGTGCAAAACTCCACACCCTGGTGGGTGGTAGAGGATTATAATCTACAATTGCCAGAAAAGTACATGGTTGTATATTTAAACAAACCACGCTTCCTTTTACAGTACAGTTCCTCCTTCTTTACAGGGTAATTCACTGGGTTTTACCCAATAATGTTTTGGAATTTATGTTGTGCACATATGTAATTACTGGGTAAATACCAGTTAATATCTACATATATACATGGGGGTTATTGGGTAAATTGTAACTACTTAGTAATTAGAAAGTAATACTTAGTAAATAGTTGCAAGTTATCAAGTAAATACTGGGTAATTACCAGGTAAATATCATTACCTGTCATTACTACCCTCACTGTCACCACACAGGTTGATTGGTAATACATAATCTATAATTCCTGGATAAATACCTGGTAGTTTTTCAGTATATATAGTCAGTTGTAGCAATAAAGAACTTAAATTCCACGATGAGCCCACCACAGAGGAAGTCCTGGCCTGAATATCTTTCCTGAACATCACGGTTAAATCCATTTCTGTTGGCTTCAACTCTTTTGTTTCCAGGACAGGAGCAAAAACTGAGAATGACTAAAACAAGTGATACATTTATCTTCTGTGGCATCTACATACAAACATACAAACAAGATCACTCTCTCTTTGTCTTGTTGTGCTATAGGAGTGATTCACGATACAGGGCTGAATACGACCCCCCTCCTTTACTGACACCATTAGCTTGCTGACAAAGAGTCATGCTTAAAAGGTCAAAGCATGATGGGAGCTGAGAAAAACACACATGAACACACCATTGATTAACTCATCCGCATGTCTTTCCTCAGCTTTGAGTCACCTCTGGCTCCTTCTCCTGCTGACAGGGTGTCTGTTAAACACAGCAGAGGGCCGCACAGATCCATGCTGTGACTCAACTTCTCCAACATGAACAGCCACAGGTGAGATTAACAGTCATGGCTGCTGGGAAAACAGCATTAATACAGTTTGATTGAATGTTTGCAGGAAGCAAAGAAACCTGATGTCATTTATTGAAGGACTTCCAAACCCCCCACTCTTTGAAACTTGAACCCGTGCATCACTCCTCATGTTTTAAGGAACTTTATTGAATTGAAATTAGTACCTGTCAATTAACTAAAAATACATCAATACAACAACTGGGGCTGTCGCCAAACTATGTAATTAGTTGGTTCTTGGTAATAAAAGGGAGCACTAGTGGTTCTTTAGGCATGTTCTCAAAATGTCATTAACCCACTAGAGAGAAAAAGAAGCAACAACTGTGATATCAACAACCAGCTGGTTAACTAGCTGTAGCTGTCCCATAGACTGTATATAGAATGGACGCCATCTGCCTCCTCACTGGGTGAAGCCACCGCGAGAACAGCACACTCTGGTGACAGGCTGCAGTATAGGTCATAAATCCTGCCCTCGCAAGCCATCCTTTTGGGGCTGTGGACAAACTTTAGAAATTTATTACACTGAATATATATATATATATATATATATTTTTTTTTTTGTGATGTTGCCATGTAGTTATTGTAAGACTGGTTTGTGCTCAAGTCCTCTTTATTAAAGTTAGAGTCCTTTATTAAAGTTATTAGGGGGTTCATGTTTTCTATGATTGACACTTGGTACAGCTGATGGGTGTACGAAGATTGCGTAGCTCACCCGGGGGATATGCTGAGCGTCGTCACAGCGACTCCCCCGCCGAAATGCAAACAATGCTACTGTGCAATGTAGGTTTCAGGAAGTGGACAAAAAAACGAGGAATTACAGAGAGCTTTTCGACTTCAAATCTGTATACAGGCAGAAGGTGGAACTAAGTTGTCCATAATATATACAGTCTATGAGCTGTCCTCTTAAAGATAGTCAAACCTGTAAAAAAAAAAAAAAAAGGATGAAATGCAATTTATTGTAAATTTAATTCCCTGATTTGAAACTGTTAGCAGAGTCAAGTTATCTGCTTGTACTAGTAAAGCTTATTTAGTAACATGTTTTGTTGTCACATCATGTGTTTGTCTTGACTTTTCTTAGTTTGACTGATGGTGTCATGTTTGCCACATGTTTAAGAAGCTGACATATTCCTGGGTAATGATTGTGCATCTTCCAAAAGAGAAGTGGTTTTGGGGGAGAAATCTATTAAACCAACGTCTTATGTGGCAGTGAAAAATATGAATCTCTATTTGAGAACAGTGTTTCCTTGTGATAAGTTGAGGTAGCACTCAGCTGGTATAGACAGGTTTCTTGTGTACAAACAATACTCGGTGCGTGCAACCAGGGGGCAAAAGCCACAGTGAACTGATTTCAATGAAGATGCCGGATTATTTGCAAATTCTCCCTGTCACAATTGCAATAAAATGTCATTGCTTTGTCTTTCATTTCATCACAAATCAGACAAAAACTTGCTGAAATGTCCATGAATTTCACTCAACTTAACAGGTTGTGACGTTGTTTTGGATGTTTCTAATATCAGGAGACGTAATGTTGGTGAATGCTGAGTCAAAGTAAGTCAAGGTAAAATGTTTATGACGAGGCTACTTGACGGCCTGCCAACATTTAAAAAACCCGCCAATGTCACTGTAAATATAAGTCTGACAGCTCGTTAGTGGAGTCTTTACAGAGATGGCTCAGACCAATTATATCAACAGCCTCAGCAGCTCGAACTGCACCGATTACCTGAACAAACTTGTCCTCAGCGCTGATGAGAAGTTACCAGACCCATATAATAATCTGACTGAGGAATGGATTGCAGATATGTCCAGATGGCCAGCTGTAATATGACCCGACATATATAATTATCTCATTGAGAAGCCTAGTGTGTACACAAAGGGCAGTTTGCGTGCATACAGATCTTTGGACGCATATAATTATGTACTTTGTGGCCATGTGCAAAACTCTTGCACAGACTCTCGCCGCCTTTAGGACCTTTAGGACCCCAATCTGCTCTTTTAATGGCCTGGAGCCACAATCTTCTTCTTCTCTTGACCAAAGGATGAGCTCCTCTCGGGATGTTTAAAAGTTTCCATCCATCCTTTTACCGATGCGTGCAGTTTACAGCACAACTGCTCCTTGTCATTTTCTTTCTCCGTTGACTCCGCTAGTAAAAAAATAAGAAATACCCCTTCTGCCCCCTGGCTGCGCGCGCATACCTGTGATGACGTTGCACAGAAACCCGTCTATAAGACACAGTGTTTTATCAGACCGATGTTAAACTGAATTTTTACAGTATATTCTGATACGATCATTATGTGGAATTCTTATGGTCATGACCATCATGGGGTGAAAATGTTTCACCATGACAGCCCTGATAACATGGTCAGTGTTTGTTTATAATAAATCTCACAGATTTTTCAGCTCACTTTTTTTTGAAAACTGAAAACTGTCTCCACTTGTCACAAACTAAATGAGGCAATGTTTACTGCCGCTTGTTTTCTTCACCTGCCCCCTCCCTCGACCCCACCCACTTATACTTCCACCCAAGTGCCCCTTCTTTCTGCTTCTCCATCTCTCATCCCCGGAGCCCAGCGATTGTTCTTGTTACCGCTGAAAAGTGCACAGGGGTTTTGTGTCAGCGACGATGTGTTTGACGATGAGGCGGCGGTGGTGAAAAATGAGGCAGGTGGCTGCAATTTATCAACACTCGAGTGGCGCATGGTGGCGTCCTGGCAGAAGGATGCGAGGCGCCGCAAAACTTGACACTGAGGGTTTTTCTGTGTGAGGCCAGGCATGATGAAATGGATGCTATTTCTCCTCTGCTGCATCAGACAGACGGCAGGGAGGAGAAAGAAAGAAAAGGAGGGGAGGGGAGAGGGTCTTTCCTCTATCTGCAGGCTTCCTCTGCACGTATCAGCTCCCTCAGCAACCCTCTCCCCTCTTTCTTCTCACATCCCAGGGAGTCGGTCTTCAAGGGTTTGCTCCGCAAATGTGCAGTGTGCTCCCCCCCCCCCCTTTTTTTTTTTCTTTATCATATGCAATTTGTATCTCTGCTGGCATGAAAAAAGGATGACAGAATGCTGATAGTAACATGGAGAGAAAGCCTTTTACAGCCTGATGATGCCATATCAAATCTCCCTCTAATTTCAACTTAACCTTCAAACCACATCTTGACTTACACCCCCATCCCCAAATCAGGGCTGTTAGGTCCCTAATCAGCATGCACACAAACACACACTAACATAAACCCCTGAGCTACCCTCATACTCTGACCTTTTTGCAATTTATCTCCTTTCCTCTTCCATCCTCTTCTTTCTCCTTACTTCGATGCACAAACGCACAAATACACACAGATACTGTACACACACACACACACACACACACTGATACTATACAGCGTAGACCCCGCTCAATGCCTGCAGCTGCCTCAGGCGGACTGTGAAGCTTTCTCCACAGGGAGGAATGCATATATGAGAAGATGCAACAGAGGGTCAAGTGAAGATAAGTAGCAAAAGCTTTAAGGTTGACGAAAACATGATAGATTTAAATGTCAGACTGTCAATTAATTATAAGCTGGCCTTTCTTGGCTGAGAGTTTTCCTTCACTTGATCAAAATTGCAAATAACTTCATCTGTTGATACCCTAAAAAGAGCAGAGAGCGCCAACAGTTTCATCCTACCGCCAGAGAAAGGAGAAGTCACGCAGAGGAGATTAGAGAAAGACGAGAGCATAAAACAAACAAATTTTGATAAAGCTGAGCCGATGAAACAGAGACTAATGAGGGGGAGATAAATGGAGATGGTAAAAGGAAGATGGAGAAGAGAAAGGAAACAGGAGAAGAAAAGAGGGAACACCAGGGGAATTCTTGAGCAGAGAAAAACGGCTTTATCATTACTCTCACTTCGATTCTGATGTCAGATTGAACAGGGAGGGCTTTCTGTTTTGTGTTCATGCACATACAAACACAAAGAGGGAGGACAAGAAGACAAATTATGAAATGAACAGCACAGCGAGCGGCTACAGTGCAGAAACTTTTGAATTACAGAGTGTGATTCCAGCGAGCATTCAGGGATCTCAGTCGAAAAAGGAAAAGGAAAAGGTTGTTTTGACTGTGAGCAGAGCAGCTTCACTGCAGTTATAGTCAGCACATAAAACAGCTTGACTGGATACTGCCAGGATTAACTGACTCTTTGTGTGTTCGAAAATGTTCCAAAAAGGCTGCCAGTTCTGTTGGTTAGGAGTATGGATTTACAACAAAATTGAACTTCAAAAGCAGAACTGCACTTTCTAATAAGATGCTTCTGAGGACACATTAGTCAGTGATTTTGGCTATGTTGGGGAGAAACACACCAGAAAAAGCTTCATATAAAGCACGAATGACATAGTTTGGCCTAAAAAAAAGTTGTTTTAGCTTCGCTGTGTACACATGCAGCACATTATGTAGAGTTATATTTTTGGTCCCCATGAACCTCTCAGAAAGACTTTAAAAGCCCCTCTCCTCTATGTTCACTATCTTATTTTTTACTTTATAAGAAGTGTTGGAAAATAGAATAGAATAGTAAAGCTTTGCAAGCTTTATCAACTTCAGCATGATGAAGTTTAACTTCTGCAAAAATAATCCAGAGGTATATTTGAGTCAATTTACGGCACTTAGTAAAACAAAACAATATAATTAGTAAACAATGACACAGTTGTACATCAAACCACACATCCTTCCATTCTCTTCAACTTATCTAAAGTAAGCTTGGGTATCAAGAACTGGTTCCCACTTGAAACCTCCAATTAGAGAGATTTGAGGATATGATTGAGCTCCTCCTGAATTTCTATTCTACTTTTCGTTAACAGCATCATGAATCTTTCAGGATAAAGGTTCAGTGACAGTTTTACTTATCCCTCCAGATCAGCCTCCTACAAAGAGACCCTGCTGTCCAGAAACCCTAAACTGAAGCCATACCTAAGGTTTAGCTTTGTGGCTAATATGTTGTGCTCTAAAGCAGTTCTGTGTTTTTCTATACTTCATTTCAGTATTTCTGTTTTGTAATTTGTCTTGTTTGATCAGTCAGAAACATTCAGCATTTGCAGGGACCCCTAAAGAGAAAAAAAAGTGACTATAGCGCTGAGCTCCTGAGTCTCCTCAACCTGTTTTATTTACTGTCCCTCAGAAGCAGAGCAGGACTCAGGACTGTTAGCTTCACATTGTGGGTCAGCTGGAGCCCAGCACCTGCCAGAGGCTATAATCCTGCAGGACACACACACACACACACACACACACACACACACACACACACACACACACACACACACACACACACACACACACACACACACACACACCATGCATACAGTGAATAAACAGAAAAAGAATACCAAATTGACTTAACTTTCCTGTTTCACTACAAAGTATTAATTTTAACTTTAAGGTCAGACAATCATCAAATAATAAACAGCTCCTCTTCTGCAGATCAAAAGTTGATTTTTAAAGAAAAACACATTTTTGCTGAAATCATTCATAGAGGATTGTTCCTGTTGCTTAATAACCCTGCAGAAAAAAAATTCTTTCACCTTGTTTTTTCAACACCTGTGCTGCTGTCAAACTACATTCTTCTTTGTTGCCACAGTGACCTTGTTCATCAACATGTTGAATCGATAAAATCCCTGTTCACAAATCAAATCTACCGAATCAAAGCTGGCTTTTTGACTGTTAAGCGTGGCACTTGTTAACATATCAGTACTGACTCCAGGTCAGTTGATATTGTGTTAGTGAAAAATAGGAATGAAAAGGGGAAAATGCAATGTAAGAAGGCTGAGTAAGTGTTTAACATTTACGTCCTTGGTCTAGCAGCTGGGGGCATCGCCAGTGTGAACCTCACATCATTTTATGAGAATTGTGTTCTCATGAAAGCAGCAGCATTACCTTGAGTTTAAACAAGTAGAGAAATATGCACACCAGGTAAGTGGCTTTTGTAGAAAAAAATCATGTACAACACATTATATGTAAGTTTTGACAACAAAACTAGCAGATTTAAATGAAATGAAAAAGGCAAAGGATACCTTTAAATTTGAGTTCTTTACTTTTTTTGTACAAAACAAAACAAACAAAAGTATCAGTTTGGGTCTCAGTATTTTAGATAATTTATATAATACAATTGAGGGCCAAAAAATCTTACTGGGACCCTCCTAGTTAAATCACACTTTCAAGCAGCTATCCACTATCAAACCTAGAAATAAAAGAAAGACTGTATCTGATCACTTTGTCACCATTCACCTTGTTTCAAACACCTGATTTGACATAGGATGATGAAATTTGACCACTCTAAAGGTCCTTTCCCCCGCAGTATTTTTGTCGTGCAATTATTTCGGACGTCAATATTTTTTTTTGAATCTGTATCCTGTCAATACAAGCGCTCACATCAGCGACGTTTTCCCGTCCTGTGATATTGCGGCATTTATTTTTTCGTATCACGGTTGAATTTTCGAAAGTTTTGCATACTGTGTGTCCACTTCTGACAAATCAGATTTTGTGTTGTTGCAACGTCAGATTCACCAGTATATCCAACATGGCCGACCGGCTGATTGTTTACGTGTCGGAGAACAGAGTGCTTTTTGATAAAAGACACAAACATTACAAAGATAAAGACCTGAGGGACAACTTGTGGAGAGTCATGACAGACAGCCATCTCAACGCTAGTGTGTAATCAGAACAGAAAAACAGTCAGTCTGCTGTTGTGTCAGTCTTCTCGCTTCCACCCAGGACGTGTCTTTTTTAACCCCCGGGAAGTCGCAAAATCGCATTGTGTTTGATGTGTCAGGCGCGTCAATATTTGCCTCCAAATATTTCGTAATTTTGCATCGTATATTTGCGTCGTTCCCGGTGTGTAAGGACCTTAAGGCTCTGCTCTGTCTGAACTGTTGTTGACAGTATTTAATATTCAATGTGGTGGTGGCACATTGCACAGGTGACCCATTGAAATAGCACACAGTCCACCCTTAATGGACAGTCAGAAGTGATGTTGAAAAAGCTAAATATCATTTGACATATTTCCCAACATTATGTGGCATATGATAACAAAAACACACCAACACAAACACAGACATCTCTAGTGGTCAGTTGCAGCAGTCAATAAGCTAAAACAGGTTACTTTGAATTGCCCTAAAGTGAGCTGAGTAGAACTGCAATAACGTCAGAAACGTACAGAGGATCTAGAGTTTGAGAGGTAAGAGTGAGACAGAAAGGCTGATGTAACACTCACTGCCTCTGCAGATCACTCCTCCACTTAATACTAAGCTGAACAGTTTCTGCAGCAACAAGCTGTGTCCTTGTACCACTCTAACTTTTTAATGAGAGCGTCTGCTCCCAACAGAGCTCATCTGTCCAACCGCGGTGTAACTGCCTCTGCAACATTTTCGATGACATTTTAGAAATGTTATTTAAAAGGGCAGTTAAGTTTGTACAGCAGCATGAAGT